TGCCAGTTCTGCTACCCATCGTCACCCTGTTGTATTCAGTTTGGCATGTAGGTAAGTCGATAATTATTGGTGTACATTGTGAAGAATGTTGCATAATAGAGGTAATTGCAGAATTTTTCTGTGATCACCCATTTGAGAGCTAGAAACTCTGAACGCAAATGGTAATTCTTCTCAACTGCAGTTAAAGTACGAGAAATGCAAGAAATTGCACAAAGCAACATTTCACGATGAATGGCTCTGAAAATTTTGGAAAGCCTATAACAGGAGGCTGAGTTAAACAGTCTATCAACTGCTCTACCACTGACTGGTGCATGTCACTACACTAAATATGTGTACTTGAAGGGACAACTACTGTTGTTTTATTTTATCTGCCACTTTAATCTTTTGTTTCGCTGGGTCTCAATGTCTGCAGGTCCACTGAGCAGGTCATACAGAGAATTGGCGATTCCATCAAAATCCTGTATTGTTTGTAATAACTGAACAGTCCCAACATTGCTCTTAATTCACCAACAGTACCTGGCTGTTTGTCTTTCAAAGCAGTCATAGCAGTGCTATCTGTGGGGTTTATCCTGCTTCCTTCTGCTGACACAATCCCGCCAAGTTACCTTGCTTCTGCTCTAAACAGATTGCACTTCCTTGCTTTTAGTTTGATTCCATTCTCCCTAACTCTTTGCAGCACTGTCGTGACATCCTACAGACTACCAGAGAGGAGTATGATGAGGTGGATTTTTCCATCGACCCTTGAGCTCAGAAGTTCTGCAGGTAGTTTTTCATCTCCTGATACAAGGGCTTTGGTACAGAGAGATAAGTCGGTGTCACTGGCTCGTTATCTTTCATGGAAGTGTTCGTTTGCAAGTTCTCAGCACATCCTATGTCGTTGTCAGACCTAAAGAATGATTGTGATTCTTCTCTTAACATCTGATTAACAACTTGATAGGTGGATCCTAGTGTTCAATGGTAGATGTGCCTGGGCATAATGGACTGATGCAGTAGGTATCCAGTCAGTTTTCAATATATTAGCAGGATATATTGATCCAACAGACCGCAAAGTTTCCATAACATTCCTATTTGGCACTACGATGTCATGGTTCGTGGGATTTTGAAAACAATATTTGGTGTCATACTAGCCTTTACTGATAAAAGGGTATCGCAGAACTTCCTTCAGTCCTTCAGGCCACTGTGGGTTCTCATGAATGGTAAATGGACTGATTCTTATATAGCGCTTTTCTACTCTCCCTACTCTCATGAGACTTGAAGATCAGAATGCTATCTTGTTTGAAAGGTGCTTGGTGCGTTGAAACCTGCACAAAATGCTCACATCTCCCACACTTGAAGCAGTGCTGACAATATTCGTAACATTCTTTCACACATGAAAAGCATCTAGAGTGGTGGCATGGTGCTGGAAAATATTTCTGTGGTGCAAATCTTTGTTGAAACTGTGCTGTTCCCCTCACATGCTAATAATAAAACAGCATGAATTTTCTTTCGCCTTAATGGGGAAAAGCAGTTGGGTTGCAGGCACTGTTCCCTCTAAGCTGAGCGTGTGAGCAATCGTGCACTGCTGACACAGTCTCCGTGAACAGAAAATCAGTGAAATAAAATAAATACATGTATTTACTTTCATTCCAATTCAGGCTGGATTATTTTTGTGTGTGCAGCGCAGATTTTCTGTGTGGGGAGACCATGTCAGCAGTGTGCGATTGCTCACGCGCTGAGCTTAGGTGTTGTCTTTAGAATGGCTTCTCTGATTTTGGAAACTTAGAATAGAATTAGAATAGAATAGAATTAAACTTTATTGTCATTGCACATGTCACAGGTACAGGGCAACAAAATGCAGTTTGCATCCATCCAGAAGTGCTTTAGCCATGATATAGATATATTACACATATATTAGCAATAATATAGATATGCAAGTATATTACAGAATGGGTCTATTATGGTATGTTATAATGTACACGGTATGAAGTATGTTATGAATATTCTATAAGTATAAGTATGTACAGGCTGTAGTGAGTACAGGCTATGAACAGGATATAAATATGAAAAACTATACAGAAATCTGAGATATACAGCTATACAGAAATGTGAACTATGCAAGTTATAAACAGTTGTAGGATTAAAAATTATCGTATGTACAGAATGATTATTTACACAGAACTATACAGTAGTGCAGTTAAGATAAGTGAGATATGTGGATAATTTCTACAGTGGTTACATAAAGTGCTGGTGGTTGTGAGTGGTGGTTCAGCCCATTTTGTTATTGTGTGTATGAGGGTACAGTTGTCCATTGTGTGTGTGTGTGTGGGTGGTTGTGGGTGTGTGTATGTTCAGTCCATGAGTTTAACGTGGGTCAGATGTCAGGAGGCAGAGTTCAGGAGTCTGACAGCTGTGGGGAAGAAGCTGTTCCGGTACCTGGTGGTCTTAGTCCGGAGGCTCCTGTAGCGCCTCCCAGAGGGCAGGAGGGTGAAGAGTCCATGTGATGGGTGACTGGGGTCTTTGATGATTTTCCCAGCCCTTTTCAGACACCGCTTCCTGTAGATGTCCTTTATGGCAGGAAGTGGTGCTCCGGCGACCCTCTGCAACGCCGTCCGGTCCGAGGCAGAGCAGTTCCCATACCAGACTGTTATACAGTTGGTCAGGATGCTCTCGATGGTGCAACGATAGAAGTTCACCAGGATGTCTGAGGACAGGTGGTTCTTCCTCAGAGTCCTCAAGAAGAAGAGGCGCTGGTGAGCCTTCTTGACCAGCTTGGATCAGTTGGTCGTCCAGGTGAGATCCTCGGAGATGTGGACTCCCAGGAACTTGAAGCTGCTCACACGCTCCACAGCCGTCCCCTTAATGTGGATGGGTGGATGTGGGTCAGCATTCCTCCTGTAGTCCACGATGAGCTCCTTGGTCTTCTCGGTGTTAAGCAGCAGGTTGTTTGTGTCGCACCACTCAGCCAGACGATCCACCTCCTCCCTGTAGGCGGCCTCATCGTTGTCACTGATGAGGCCAATCACCGTGGTGTCATCTGCCCTCAACTCTTTCAGGAGTACCATGTCAGCGCACATTTCTTTTATTTGCTCTTTCTTTGACCGTGTTTCTCTTTTCCACTGGAGAATCACTGGTCTAGACAGTATTTACAGTAGGTACTCATGATGGAGCTGCATGTTTCTTTTCATCCTGTCTCTCCTTTCCATTCTCAACTGCAATATTCACCTTCTCTGACAACAGCTCATTTGAAGTATTTGTTTGTCAGGACAGTATGCATGAAAAGACTCTGGACTAGTGCTGGATCATATTTTAGACTTGATTTAACTTCCTGAGAAGCAAACAGGATTTTCTGCCTCAATTCTGTTGTCTTGATCAAGAAATTTTAGGGAGTCTCTTTACTATTCTAACTCTAAGAGGAGAGTTGTTTGTATAACTCTGTGGCACTTTTCTCACAGTTTCAAAGGTCACTGTTGGTAGAACACTACACCGCCATGGTCTCATATCATGCATTGCATGGAAGGTTCCCCTGCTCAGGTCATCACATGTCCAGGCCCGTCTGAAGTTTGCCAGTGACCATCCGGATGATCCAGAGGAGGCGTGGGAGAAAGTCATGTGGTCAGATGGGACCAAAATAGAACTTGCTGGTTTAAACTTAATTCGTTGTGTTTTGAGGAGAAAGAAGGAGGAGTTGTATCCCAAGAACACTATCCTTACTGTGAAGCATGGGGGTGGAAACATCATACTTTGGGGGTACTTTTCTTTGAAGGAGACAGGACCACTGCACTGTATTAAGGAGAGGATGAATGAGGCCATGTATTGTGAGATTTTGAGCAACAATCTTCCCTCAGTCAGAGCATTGAAGATGGGTTGTGGTTGGGTCTTCCAACATGACAATGACCCAAAGCACACAGCCAGGATAACCAAGGAGTGGCTCCGTAAGATGCATATCCAGGTTCTGGAGTGGCCTAGCCAGTCTACAAACCTAAATCCAATAGAAAATCTTTGGAGGGAGCTGAAACTCTGTGTTGCTCAGGGACAGCCCCGAAACCTGACAGATCTAGAGGAGATCTTTATGGAGAAGTGGGCCAAAATCCCTCCTGCAGTGTGTCCACACCTGGTCAAGAACTACATGAAACATTGACCTCTGTAATTGTAAACAAAGGTTTCTGTACCAAATACTAACATTGGCTTTTCTCAGGTGTTCAAATACTTATGTGCAACAGTGCTATACAAATAAATTCTTTAAAAATCATACAATGTGATTTCCTGAATTGTTTTTAAAATGCCGTCTCTCACAGTGGGAATACAATGTGAATTTTAGGCTTCTCCATAATTTGTAAAAGGGAGAACTTGCAAAATCGCAGGGTGTTCAAATACTTATGTTCCTCACTGTAACTCCTTAACTGCAGGTCTGGTACTGAGCCCATTTTCAATTTGCCTTTCAAGACTGGAAAATGTGAACCTGTCTTTTTGCTCAGGCTCTACTATTTGGCCTCATTTATTATAATTGTTGTGCTACATAGAGCCGTTCGGTGGTGTTGGAACAATACCTTAAGCTGGGGATTCATGCCATTCTTCATTAAGCAATGCATTTTGTCCTCTTTTTCGTGTAGAAGCAGTCTTAATTTCTCTACTGCCCTCTCCATTTGTATATTGCTTATATGTCCTTCTGGACATCAAGAAGGTGTGACATACCTTCATGCGGTTGAAGCTCTGCATGTTCAAGTTGCTTTAAATGTGAGACTAACTGACTGTGTATTTTATTAATCACATAGTTTTTTTTCCTGAGATTTGAAGTATATCACATAATTTAATCAGCTGCTCTTCCGTCAGTTGATACAGTGTTTCTTTCATTTTCAGCTGTAGCTTCTCTACTTCAGACTCCAGAGGAGTTAGCACAGGCAATGAAATGAGTGTTTATTAGACTTGAAAGATTTTTGCTGCCTCCTAGTGATTACTGTTTACTTCAGGATACAAACGCCAATGTCAGTCTAGTAACATCTCTGCTGCTTTGCAGTGCTCCTTTCTGATGCCTGGGTCATCTGGCTTTTTCTTACAGCTCAGGCGTGGTCCTCAAGGCAAATATCCTAGTGGTGCTTCCAAATGTTGTGCCCTTAAACAGGGGAAATAGTAAGGGGCAATGAATGAGACACTGACAGCAGCTCTTGCCTTCACCTGACTGTATTGAGTATCAGCTACAAAAGATACTACCAAATCCACATTTTCTCTGCATGGATACATCAGTCTCAGGACCATAGTTTCCAAACTAAGTTATTCTTCTTTGCTGTTTCAACATTCAACAAGTGTCTTCTTAACACACATATTTTACCTGACACATTCAATGACTTTCCACAGTAATGAAATAATACTTTGAGTATGTATGGCTCTCATGGTTAACTAAAATACAAATCATGGCAGAATAATCATCATACAATATGGCAGGATGATAGCTAAAGCTAGCTTACACAGCAACAGAGTTAGCCTACATTTTACTCCTTCTCACATCTGTCATTTGTCTAATCTCTACATTGTTATGTGTAACATTGTTTCTCCACTTTCACTGTGGTACTAACTTTCACTGACCATTAGAACAAGTGGACTGAAAGCTGTGCAGTAAAAAGTATGCAGTGCATTTATATTACATTATTACAACAGTATTACATATTTATTCATGTAACTCAGTATTTTCTCAGCATGTTCTTTTTTTGACTCTTGTATAATGTTAAATGTTTGTCATTTAAATGTCCTTCTAAAAAGTCAAAGTCTGTTTCGCTTCTTCCCTTCAGCCAGTTGTCCCAGATAACTGGATTTTTAATAACTTACTACAGTTAAACCAGGACAAAACACAACTATTAGGGCTAAAGCTAAAGGTCAGAAATTTCTTATAAATTGTTTCTGGAGAGTGTTACAAATTGTTACTTCAGCATTATCAGTGATGCTGACCTCACTTTCCAGGACCATATCTACAATATATAGAACAGTTTTTATCTAAGAAAATTGGAAATGTTAGCACCTTTACCAAAGAAATCTCCCCATGTTGTCATTTGGCCGTACTACTGTCCTGGGCTTTAGTTAAAAATAAAATATCATGAGATTATACCTATGCTCAGATGATTACTGCTTTAGCCTTCAAAAAGACATATGAAGCAGGTCATGCTTTGCAATTTGATTAACAAGTCGCTAATCCATGAAAATGTAGTATCCCTGAGATCCTTCCTTTGTTTGTGACACATTTCAAAACATCAAAATGTAGATGGTCAAAATGCTCAACTTCAGCCCTCACAGCAGGAGCTCATTAGCATACGGGTAACACAGAGGCCACACACACTCATATATATATATATATATAGAGAGAGAGAGAGAGGGATAGAGATCGAGTCTAGTTAAGGCGTAGTCACTTGTAAACTTTTGTAAACCTAGCTAGCCTGGGACCTCCATCTTTGACATTCATTGTCCAATATATCCACTATCCTTCTTCTCCACAAGTCTAAATGATAAATTCCCCCTCCAAAATAAAGCAAAAATGGTCAACACACTAATACTCATTTTCAAATAAATACTCAAAATTGTTGTTATAACCAGCTAGTCTATGAAGGAGCTGGACCTTAGAGCCATCCGCACAAACAGTACACAGAAGCCCACAATGTGTTAAATAGCAGCAGGCAACACAAGTTGTAACATGTTTCATAACAAGTAATCTCATGACTAATGTAAAGGGAGATATTAATAGAACAAACAGAATCTGCTCTTCCGCAAATAGGCGAAACAGCTAATATTCTTATAACCACTGGTTTGTACATGACCACCTTGTTGACTTACCGGTGTGGTAGGAGAAAGGCCTGTGCTTTTCATCCCTCATTATGCGGTGCCTAAGTGTCACTGACAGGTCCTCCTGGATGGGGACTGCTGCTGTTTGATTGGCTGATTCTGCGGTAAGACTTGGGTAAGAGTGAAGTGGATTGTAAGTATTTGCTTTTAGTTGGTCTTTTCGAACAGGCGGTGGTTTAGTAGGCTCTTTTTCAGTCTGTTCCTTCTCCCGTGCACCACAGTAAGGCATCTTACCAAATAAATGCTTTGCTGCTATGTTGCTATCCTTCCTCTTTGCCCTGCTTAAACCTCCCGATCCTTTCCTCTCCTTGTCTTTTTTCTCTTCTTCTTCCTTCTCATCATCCGTAGCCTCGCCTTCCCTCTCTCTGTCCTCTCCTTGACCTTTGCAGTTTTCTCTGTCCTCACTCCCAGCTTCATTATTATCCTTAACTGCTGCACTGACAACAGCAGGCGTGTCTTTCATCTGCTCACTGGCTTTGGTAGCCTGGTGGTGAGAGGTGGGATTGTGGTTGGGTGCTCTGCTTGGCCAAATGTAGCTGGGAAAAGAGGAAATGACACCACCACTGAAGCCCAGGCCAGCCAGTAAAGTGCTGGTCACCACAGATGCCACAGTTGCTTGACTACCACTGGAGGATGGACCAATGCCTGTTGCCATAGAGACAAATGAGAAGGGGATACCAGATGAAGTCCAAGTTGATGAGCCAGAGGAAATGGGAGCCATATCAGCCGAGGAGGCTGGAGACAGTGTTGGCTGAGAAAGGAAAAAAATGTAGTTAATACAAAGACGCATCGTCAGTCATCCCATGAACTCACTGAGCTTTGACATTATAATGAAGAAAATTACAACTAATGTAAACTGTTTGTTCCATTTATTTGTTTTACCAAATCTTTTTATCTTATACAGAGTAGAAACTGCAAATTCTCAAATACAACCATATACATCAGAGTATTACGTTGTATCATAATAATGAGAGTGCACAGCATGAGCATCATGTGCAACAAAGATTATGACAGGACATCTCTGTGTGGAAAAAAATGAAGTTTACGATCTGCTTGTAAAACATGATGGCAGGGTTTTAGTATGTCAATAATAATATCATGAATCCTTTTCGGGTAACACACATTACAGATATTACATACCTGTCTGACATACATTTACCTGATTATAAGTTAAATTATTTGATTATATATGCAAAATCAGAACAAGATTAAAGGGTCAGACTGAGCTTTAAAACTAGAAAACGTCAAAATATGTTTCAATTTTTAAGGGTCATTAGAAATGGGCAAAGATTTAAAAACCTTTGAAGAAAAAAAAACTGACATTAGAACTTTGAGGCCTTAAGGCAGGGCTGCCCAATCCCAGTCCTCGAGAGCTACCGTCCTGCAGCTTTTAGATGCATCCCTACTCCAACACAGCTGAATCAAATGAATGGCTTGTTATCAGGCCTTTGCCAAACACGATGGCATGCTGAAGAGGTAATCAAACCATTTGATTCAGCTGTGTTGGAGTAGGGATGCATCTAAAAGCTGCAGGACGGTAGCTCTCGAGGACTGGGATTGGGCACCCCGGCCTTAAGGTGTCATATGACGTGAGATCAGTCACATGAAAAACAGAACATTAACACTGTTAACCTCTTAATCGCTTTCATCAAGAATTCTTTGATTCGTGTGAAATGTGAAATTTATCTGAACTATGGTCAATAATTTACCAGTGACTAGTTACAGACATCAATGAATTCTAGGTGAATTCATACCCTTTTAAATGATTGTATGGAATGAAGCAAGAAAGAGAGAATGCAGTTAGAGTTTGGTCGTTTCTGAAAATTTGGTTGCATAAATAAACTAAAATAAAATCTCTTCATCCATATGCATATGAACTTGATTTTTCCTGACTCTAATGCTTATTGAGACACTGATGTTCATATGAGAGAGGCTCACACAGAATCAAAAGTCAATACAGGGAGTGCAGAATTATTAGTAAAGTTGTATTTTTGAGGAATAATGTTATTATTGAACAACAACCATGTTCTCAATGAACCCAAAAAACTAATTAATATCAAAGCTGAATGTTTTTGGAAGTAGTTTTTAGTTTGTTTTTAGTTTTAGCTATTTCTGTGCATAATTATTAGGCAACTTAACAAAAAACAAATATATACCCATTTCAATTATTTATTTTTACCAGTGAAACCAATATAACATCTCCACATTCACAAATATACATTTCTGACATTCAAAAACAAAACAAAAACAAATCAGCGACCAATATAGCCACCTTTCTTTGCAAGGACACTCAAAAGCCTGCCATCCATGGATTCTGTCAGTGTTTTGATCTGTTCACCATCAACATTGCGTGCAGCAGCAACCACAGCCTCCCAGACACTGTTCAGAGAGGTGTACTGTTTTCCCTCCTTGTAAATCTCACATTTGATGATGGACCACAGGTTCTCAATGGGGTTCAGATCAGGTGAACAAGGTGGCCATGTCATTAGTTTTTCTTCTTTTATACCCTTTCTTGCCAGCCACGCTGTGGAGTACTTGGACGCGTGTGATGGAGCATTGTCCTGCATGAAAATCATGTTTTTCTTGAAGGATGCAGACTTCTTCCTGTACCACTGCTTGAAGAAGGTGTCTTCCAGAAACTGGCAGTAGGACTGGGAGTTGAGCTTGACTCCATCCTCAACCCGAAAAGGCCCCACAAGCTCATCTTTGATGATACCAGCCCAAACCAGTACTCCACCTCCACCTTGCTGGCGTCTGAGTGGGACTGGAGCTCTCTGCCCTTTACCAATCCAGCCACGGGCCCATCCATCTGGCCCATCAAGACTCACTCTCATTTCATCAGTCCATAAAACCTTAGAAAAACCAGTCTTGAGATATTTCTTGGCCCAGTCTTGACGTTTCAGCTTGTGTGTCTTGTTCAGTGGTGGTCGTCTTTCAGCCTTTCTTACCTTGGCCATGTCTCTGAGTATTGCACACCTTGTGCTTTTGGGCACTCCAGTGATGTTGCAGCTCTGAAATATGGCCAAACTGGTGGCAAGTGGCATCTTGGCAGCTGCATGCTTGACTTTCTCAGTTCATGGGCAGTTATTTTGAGCCTTGGTTTTTCCACACGCTTCTTGCGACCCTGTTGACTATTTTGAATGAAACGCTTGATTGTTCGATGATCACGCTTCAGAAGCTTTGCAATTTTGAGACTGCTGCATCCCTCTGCAATATATCTCACTATTTTTGACTTTTCTGAGCCTGTCAAGTCCTTCTTTTGACCCATTTTGCCAAAGGAAAGGACGTTGCCTAATAATTATGCACACCTGATATAGGGTGTTGATGTCATTAGACCACACCCCTTCTCATTACAGAGATGCACATCATCTAATAGGCTTAATTGGTAGTAGGCTTTCGAGCCTATACAGCTTGGAGTAAGACAACATGCAGGAAGAGGATGATGTGGACAAAATACTCATTTGCCTAATAATTCTGCACTCCCTGTAGTGTTGATTCACATCCATTATCCTTACCATTCCAGTTTTTACAATCCTCGTCCCTTCAAAGATCCTGGTAGTGTTCGCTAAAACAAGAGAAAGAAAATAGTATCTACAGTGAAATGCAGGACTGAGGAACACTTAAACAGATGTTTGCAAACTAGTTTGAGTCCACTATAAGCTCATTAACCACTTCATGAAACAATGTAAATGTAAGTCACTGAATACATATTAAGGAAGCTAATTAACTGGATGTAATTAAATTGAATTATTACACTTTCAGTTGTCTGTCCTTTAGTCTGCAGCTACTGATACATCACTAGCTTACATTAATAACCTTAATATGAATGACTAAAATATTATGATCAAAGGAATAAGTAATAATACATTTTGAAATATTAAGGTTATTATGGCTTATACACCAATAATATGCAGGGCTGATGGAAATACTGATAGTAAGGAAGACATTGGAGAAGAGAATGTGTGAATTCGTAACACACACACTTAGAGTGTGTGTGTGTGTGTGTGTGTGTGTGTGTGTGTGTGTGTGTGTGTGTGAGCACGTACTACCTCTAAAAAGCATACTCTGACTGAAGTCACTGCGCATGTCATTAGTGCAGACAGCCTGGACTCGAAAGAGGTAGAGCACATCGGGGGAGACAGGAGAAATGATGGCCTCCTGGACAACAACACAAGTTGCAGCAAGAAAATCGGTAAGTTTGGCATGCTGAGTTATGTCAATGAGAAATCTTTATGTCTTCCTCCAGGTAAATGACAGTAGGTAGCATATGTTAGCAGAGTGGGAATAAAACTAAACATTTGTAAACCTGAAATGCCTTTTTCTATGATATGCAGTTAATTCCATCAATGTGACTTAAAGTGGTCACTTTTCATGTGGAAAAGTTTGTTTTTTTAAATATTTGACTGCTTTTTCTAAAATTACTATTTTAAAATATGAATGGTATATAACAATAATGGTATATAATATAATTATGACTGATGGCTGTTCGTTGGAATGTAGCCTGAATGCATTTCATAAATGTAAGGGGGTGGACAGAAAAACTTTTGCCAGTTCAAACATATTTTTCAAGTTTGATTTTTAGAATTTCGTGGTCAACAGTATCAAATGCTTTTTTATAGATCTAGAAAGACTCCAAGTGCATACTTCTTGTTATCCATACATTCTGTTATTTCTGTTTATTAAAAAACCTTTAAAAAAAAAAAAAAAAAAAAAAAAAACATTAAAAGCACAGTTTCAGTGCTATGTAGCACTCTGGCATCTAACCGAAATGTTTCAGAGATGCCATTTTTCCCAGAAAAGCCTGGAGCGGAAGGAAGACAATTCTTCTCCAGGACCTTGACAAAGTGAATGAAAACAGCAGAAATCTGGGGGATAAGAAAAAGCTGGAGGAGTGATATGAGACCTGATAGCAGCAACCTTATTGACTACCAAAGCCTGAAGTAGAAGTGACGAGTTCAGAGAATAGGCTTAACTAGTAAATCATCTTTATTCTTAACCAAATTCTTAACCCTATAATAATCCAAGTATAAGTGTGATTAATATGTTAAATTACAAATGTAGTTTGAGTAGTGAAAATGACTGGTCTAATGTCTGAATTTTGTGTGTGTTGACATTATCCAGCTTTGACCTTTTAGTGTCTGCAGGAATGTGGGAAATATAAGTATGTCGCCAGTCCATCATTATGCATGATTTGGCATGGTAATAATTATAGCACTGGTGAACACAGAACCTTAATTCATATGTGATTATGTTTAATTCTGATCAGGGGCACTTTCTTTTAATGCCTGACTTCTAAAATACTTGATTTAATAAAAAGAAAATGTATTAATTATATTTTCAATAAACTGAGTTAATGTCACGGTACAGAACCTGAATCATTGCTGCAAAACCTGGGCTGAAGCCAAAAGCAGTTAAAGTGTGCCACAAATATTGGTGTTCAAGCCGGTCAAAAGCTTTTTCTTGGTCTAGAGAAATGAGACCAATACCTATGCCCAAAGAGCTAGAGAGATCCAAAACATCTCTAATCAAAGTGACATTATCACTTATCAGCCTGTCGGGCACGCAATATGTTTGGTCTCCATGAACAACAGAAGCCATCACATCTCGAAGTCTGGTGGCCAGGACTTTGGAAAAAATCTTATAGTCTGTACAGAGCAACGATACCTATCTCCAGTTCTTCAAACTGCGCAGATCTCCCTTCTTTGGCAGCAGAATGATGACCACCCGTCTACAGCTCAGAGGCAGCAAGCCTCTCTGCAGACTATCTGTGACAACCTCGAGCAAATCCTCACCCATCACAGACCAAAAGGCTTTGTAGAACTCAACAGGAAGACCATTCATGCCAGGAGTTCTACCATTCTGAAAACTCATCAGAGCAGTATGAAGTTCATGCAAAGTTGGCTGAACCTCCAGTTTTCGATTGGCTTCAGCCGCCACCTGAGGGAGTCCCTTGAAGAAGCTATTACACCAACTAGGATTTTCTGAGAGATCACTCTTAAAAAGGTCCTTATAAAAGCTGACAGCAAACTTCCTGATCTCAGAAGGATCTGAGATTATGGAGCCACTGTCAGACATTAGAGAGTGAACAGTTTTTCTTTGCCCATTCTTCTTTTCCAGTGCAAAGAAAAAGTGAGACGAGGCATCCATCTCTGTGACACTGAGGAAACGTGACCTGACCAAAGCCCTTTTGGCTTTCGTGCCCAACAGGTTGGCTAAAAAAGCCTTTTTGGATTTGAGGGAATCTAAAAGCCCCCGGTTTCCTGTAGACGCTGCTAAACCCTGCAGTTCTACCACCTGAGTCTCTAGGTCTCTCATAGATCTGGTTATGTCTCTAGTAACATTACGAGTGAACTGTTGACACAATTGTTTAATATGACACTTTCCAAAATCCCACCACTGCTGGATACAAACAAAGTCAGACTAAGCTTTCCGGTGATTGAGCCAAAAAAATTCAAAAGCTGTCCTAAAAGTGTTGTCATGTAACAGGGCCATATTGAAATGCCAGTAGGCACTCGTTACATGGACATTTTTAATGAAAACAGAACAATGAACCAGACAATGATGAGAGAAACCAACAGGGGTTATCTGACAGTCCTTAAAATACTCAAATGATGTTTAAATGAGTATATGCGATCCAGTCTTGCCAAAGATAAATGATTGTCCTTAGAATGACTCCATGTGTACTGCCACAGATGTCCATTGAAAAACCTCCACACATCTGACAGGCCCACAGCTACAGCCAGCTGCCTGAGCCTGCGAGAGGACGCAGGATGAGGTTCGATGTGGTTCCTATCCAAAGGTGGGTTAGCAGTACAATTGAAATCCCCACACAAAAACAAATACTCATCATCGCTAGAAACCTTAACAGTATCACACAGGACATCTAAAAAACCCATTCTGTCCACTCCTTTAGTTGGTGCATATACATTGAGAAAAACAAAATTCACATTTTCATATTTGATTTAAACTTTCAGCAAACACCCCTTGATTATTTCCTCTGCTTTGCAAGAAACAGGCAAAAAATTATTGGAGAACACAATCCCCAGACCTCCACTACAGCTGGACTTCTGACTAAAAAAAACATTTCCCCTACAGCCCTTCCTCCAGTCACTCTCATTGTCACCAGTACTGTGAGTTTCTTGAACCAACATAATATCCAATTTCTTTAGGTTCATAAGCTCAAAAAAAAGCAGCTCTTTTTACCTCATCTCTAAGACCATTCAAATTTAATGTGCCTATTTTAAATTCAGACATGAGAGAAGCGAGACAGAGAAAAAAAGATAGTGACATATAGAGTGTGTTCCTAAACATGATCGTCATCATCAGCAGTAAGTGCTTGAGCTCTCACTTTCAAAATCAGTTTCTTTAAACGATAAATCTCTTGGTCTGTCAACACATCGTCAATAAAATTCCCTGATTTTTGTCAAGACCCGAGACGACTCAACAAAAAGCTTAAGGTCCGGAAAATAGTCTTCCACTTTCACCATCTTGAGGCCTTTGGTTTTCTGTAAGAATCTCCTGATCTCAGCAGGAGAGTACAGATTCTGGTGTTCCTGGCTTAGGGACAAATCACTTTCAGACTCCATGCTGCTCTCTCCTGCTCTGTTTCCTCTCTTAGCTTTCGACATTTTTGTACTACAGTGGGCAGGTTCCGAGCTCTTTCTCTTTTGAGACAACTTCAACAAATCCTCATCAAGCATGTTGTCATCCTCACAAAGATCATTACACACAGACTCAAGAGTCGTGTCAGCTGTCTGACTGGTGTCAGAAAAACCTGCAGACTGGTCATTAGTCAGATCCATTTCTACACCATCAACACTTTTCACAATGCCAGTTTCATCAGACCCGTTACTGCTTGGAAAATGCCGGTTTTCCACAGGCGCCTCGGCAGCGGGGTCCACCTCAGCTATGGCAGAGCTCAGCGGGTTTTGCATGAGTGATCGCCGGGTCCCTACCAGGAGATGACCCAATGGCATCATCCGCGGGCTGCGTGTTTCTTCGTCTCTCTGGACAGGAGCGAATTAAATGCCCTTCTCCACCACAACCAAAACATTTCATGCTCTCAGATGAAGCAAACACCATGTAGTTGAAACCCTCTATTTTGAACGTGAAAGACAGGTTCAGCTCGCCAGCGTTGTCTTTGAGGATCATAAAAACCTGCCTTCTGTGACACACATGTTTGAGGAGCACAGATTTGCACCCCAAAGAGACCTTTATGGGCGAAACCAGTTGGCCATACCGTGACAGCTCCTTGGCTAGAGTTTCATTTTTAATAAAAGGAGGTGCATTTGAGATGGTAACCTTTTTAGCAGGGCTAACCAACGGGAGAGCAGGCGTAAAGGTGTCGTGAATGACGACGATGCTTTCCACCAACTCATTAACTTTAGGTACCTTAACAAGAAAAATAATAATAGCACCGTTCATACGGGAGGCAGATTTCACGCTGTCATAGCCCACCACCTCTCCTACAGCCAAAACAGCTTCTTCCACCGAGCAATTCACAGTCGGTATAAGTTTGACAGCATGACGGCGTGTCAGCTTCTCAAACCCTGCACCACCCTCAACAGCGGGCACTGTGCCAAGCCAAGACGGTAGCAAAAGCTACCAAACCAGCCGGCAACAAACAAAACACACCAACAACCATGTGTCGAAAAAATAAACACCTGACAGTGAAAGAAGAAAAGAGGAACCCGAAAACAGAAATCCACTCACTCCGACACTCCCATTCCCAGCCCCATTCACTCAGAAAGAGAGAGAGAGGGAGGGAGAGAGGAACAGAAAGACAGAGAGGGAGGAACAGAGAGAGAGAGAGAGAGAGAGGAACAAGAGAGAGAGAGAGAGAGAGAGAGAGGAACAAGAGAGAGAGAGAGGAACAGAGACTTTTTGACTTTCCACACAAATTTATTTACACTGAATTAAAACAAACAAAAACAGAAACAAAAAACACAAAAATGCTACCACATAATCACAACATTCATTGTACACTAACCATTACCTAAGGTACCCAGCACACACACTTAAAAGTTAAGCACAAATGTCCCATCTGCTCCTACTGAACACAAAACCCTTCCAATGCCCCACACAGTTTCAAAGGAGTCCAGACTGTCAGTCAGAGAGTAAAAAGCATGCTCTACTCTCAGACGGGATGCCAACAGGCC